TATGCTTATACCCTTCATCTTGCTGATATAAATTTTTAATTATATTACCGGTTCTTATCCTCATACGTACATGTATGTAGGTATATTTTCTTTTTTTCGAATAGTTTAATTTTGCTTTTAAATTTATTTTTAACTTATTTTCGCAGTCTTGAATAGACTCATTAACAGAAGCTCTATACATTCCATTGCATGTCGTCATTGCGCATTTCTTATTCATTTCAATTTTGTGAAAAAGAAATTATCATTTTGTAGAAAGCAATGTCTTAAATATTATCGGCACCACACTCAATCGTAATATGGCTTACTTAATTTATAAGTATACAATATACATAAGTATGTACATATGTAGCATGTATGCCTGTATACATTATATATTCACTAAATATTTATACATCGATTTGTAGTTTTTCCTTATTAGTATGCATTATAGTGGGGATTATAGGGAGCCTGCTTCTCATAGCCACTGCTTGCATTATTTGGTTGACCAGTACCTACACCTGCTACAGCAGCGTCATAGCTGGGTGGATTCATCGCAGCCGCAGGCATCGGTGGATAAGGCGTAACGTAAGGTTGAATGCTGTAATTAGAAATCATTTGGAAATTAGCTACCGAAAAATTACTGGCACTAGCATAAAAAACCAACAAAAAAAAGTGAAGTAAATAATATACATAAGTATACAAAACTTACCCAGGCGCTGGCGGTTGGGCGACGGGCATCGGCATGGGCATCTGTCCATGAACGCTATAAACGAGAAAAAGGTGGAGTAAAAATCAAATTTCAATACGATTCTGTTGCTCTTGTAAAAGTTTGTTAGCTATTTTGAATTGGCGCTGGCAAATGTGTTAATTACTTACCCTGTTTGCGTTGGATACGGTGGGTACATGGACTGCTGCTGATAACCAGTGGCGGGCGGCATTTGTGTAACTGGATAGCCGCCAGGTGCAGTGTGTGTAGTTGATGTCACAACAACTGGTGCTGTAGAGAAATTAAGCGGAATTAATTTGATTATTAAATACATATGTATGTACATATCAATACGTAATATAAAGATTTGAAGAAGTTTTATTGTTGAGAACAGCAAAAACATCTACTTATGTCTCATAAAATTCTTTATTGAAAAAATCTATAAGAAAAGAAGTTACGCATTTTATGTCTCGCTAACCAACTTTTGCCACAAGTCCTTCGCTTTAAGTTAAAGCCTTTAACATACGGTTTGTCTAAGAATTCAATATCCATGTTCATGTATTAGTAATGAATCTGGATAAAACTAATAAATTGCGATCAAAATCATACACTCAGTATAAGTGTTGTGTTCCGGAGCTCGCAAAAAAATCGATGAACGGTTCTTTTGAACAGACTAGGTGTTTTATATGTTTTTCGGGTCGCTGCACACGAATCTGAAGTGCGTTTTGCTCTATCACGTCAGGATTTTATCGTAGTTTTACCGATTGAGGAGGTGAGACTAAAAAAAACGTTAATTTGATTTATTAAGGACCACCCTAATGTATATATAGAGAAAATTCAGAATAAAAAATCGCGCGATATCTTTAGTAGTTTTATATACAAAAAAAAACGTCGCACTATCTACTAAAATATTGTTGTATAGTAACAAAAAGAGTAAGGTATTTTTTAAAGAAAAATATATGGGGTATTCACAACGGTATCGTATTGCTGTATCTCGTGAGCTTTGAACGCCTAAAAAATATGCTACAAGGGTTCGCAAGTACCATCATTGAATTGAATGGGCTACCAAACTGCATACCCAATAAGTTCTGAATAAAGTTTAAAATTTTTTTTTAATTTGTTAAATTTTCGTGAATTGTGCACAAGGTTTTAAACTTTGACCTACATATGTATATGGTTTATGGTATATGACCTACTATATTTTTATATATTATTAATGAAAAAATTTATCACGCAAAGCATTGTTAAATATAAAAGTGTGCTATATTTACATACATGAGCTCCACTGTACATACGTATGTATATCAGATCAATAATACTCATAGCTACTTATCATTGTCATTAATTATTTGCTTTGTAGTAGCATTTTTTATTTGTTCTATGTACATAAGCATGTACATATGTATGTATGTATATTTTTCTGTTTTTTTCTGTTTTTTTTTTCAATAATATCCAACCTTTATCGGAAATCTGTTCCTTTGTGTGTCGTTTGCGGCCTCGCAAAGAAAATGCGCCCACTACGGCCAACGCGAATACGAAAAAAGTTATTGACAGAGTGAAGATCAAACTATCGAAGAACATCGCAGCGACAATTAGTCAATAATGAAAACAAAAAATAACAAACAAGTAAAAATAAAAGCAACACCGAAACGCAACCTAACACAAAATGTATTCAATCAGTACTAACGAAACATTTCAGCGAGAAATCTTTGTCCACTCATTGTTTGCAAACGAAGTTTATAAAGTAAATGCCTACGATAAGATGTTAGCGCTTGGGTAATAAAAACTAAAATAAATACAATTATATATGTATGCATATCTACATACATACATTAGACCGTACCACCTTACTAGCAACCAAAAAAAGTTCAGCGTACACCACTGAGTCTAAAGTGTTTTCGCAAGGCAATTTCGAACTTAGGGGTCGCCAGTTTACATTTTACTAAAATAATCGAAATACTTACTTAGCAAAAGATTAATAGTTTGTTGAGTTCTTTAATTTGCTGACATTAGGGTGATAAGAACAGAGATCTGGTGGTTAAGTACTTGAATGGTGTACCTGAGGCCAATGAACTTTGGAAAAAAACGCGTTCTCGAGACAAGAACATTGATATATCATACTTTAAGATTTTCGTAAATGGAAAAAATCCCTAATTTTATTTTTTTTATTATATTTAGAACTACATCAAAGCCCTTGAAGTCTTCTATGTATTTTAAGTGGGGAAAAAAACTTTTCTTTGTAGAAATCTTTTAGAATCTTTTAAAATCAATATTTTCAATCGGAAATCTGTTTCTCCTTAGGAGACCTCCAAGAAAAATCTCCTATTGTATATTTTACCATTTCTTAATATTAACTATTTTTGATAGGTCTCCCAAAAACCCTTAACAATGCAATTGGGGCTTATGAAAAATCGTTAGCATTAAAAAATAGTAAAATAAACAATTTGGTATTATTATTGGAAGTCTCCCGAAGAGAAACATAATTTTTTTTTTGTATTTGTCAATGTTATTGTGGCTTGTTAACATTTTATTTTTAATA